AATTAATACTAGTACTATTAGTAGTGCTACTAATAGTACTACTACTAGTATAGTAGTAATACTAGTATTACTACTACTATTAGTGTAAGTAAAAGTAGTAGTACTAGTAATACTACTAGTATTACTACTAATACTTATAATACTAGAAAACGTATGAGCTACCACGCAATGGCTTTCAGGTTAGCGCGCTGCAAAAAAACAGATGCAATACTGCGCAACGGCTTTCGCACTAGCGCGCTCTCCCGTTGCTTGGTGTAGTTTTCTTCGCTTCAACAACCAGGGCTTTGACAAGACTTGGCTACCTAGTGGAGCAAGTGCTTTCTTTGATGTGTAGCCAACGACCACTGAGCGAGAAGATGCATAGCAAGTGGAGTAGACCTCACGAGCTCTTTGGTGCGCTCTGTGCTTACGCACCTCACTTGCTTTCGGGAGTTACATTCGTAACTTTTTGTTATGTTCACGCGGTGATATTATCTCTTTCTAAGAGTACTACCCCGTATGTAGTCTTTGTTTAGGGAGACAGGTGCGGTAGAGAGGTCCCCCACTTCTATTATCGTCCAGTTAGTATCTCCGATCTGAGATCAGGGATTACTCTGTTAGGTCTTTTCTTTGGTCCGGAGCCGGCCGATAGCCAGTAATGGACCTACTTACCTTGTTAGCAGCAGAGCTCACCTTTGTTCTATTGGTTTGGTGGGTGGCTACCAAGGCCATATCTTTATGCCCATCAAAGGACCTCGAGATGCGAATCCACGAAAAAAGATACAGGAAATGCGAAAGAACTCATATACCGAATGAGGGCGACTTGTGGAAATACTTCGATTTCTTACTCGTGCAAATGAACTATTTCTTGGCAACATGGACAACTTATAACGATGTTTGTGTCGCATATCACTAGGAAGATCGGGATCTTTACAAAAGGCTTTCTAAAGCTTTCGTCTCAATTCATATTTAACCGCAAACAATCTATGTTTGTGATCCCGTATATTTCGCTTCTCCGACCTCTTACTGATAATCCCCCTCATCGTTTTGCAAAAACCGCTCCACGGTGGTAAAGTCTCATCTTGCGTGTTGACCGAAGTGACAATATCACATTGAACCCTCGAATATGCTCAAATATCTCGAAATGATCTTCCTATTCTTGGGGAAAATTCACAAAACTTCGTTTCCATCGAGAATTGAATGGGGTTTTCCCAAATTTTGACCAGAGTATCTAACAAGGACATTACAGTGAAGATTCTGACCGAAAAATTAGACAACCCTGGTCGTCGGAGAATGCTTTGTCGTGCTAGGTCACGGCGTATCCAGTATCTTTTTCGGACCCCAAGAATTGATTGGATCAAAACGACTTTCCTGTCGAACCCCTTTGTGTCTATACGAATCTTTGACAGTGCGGAATCTCCGTAACCAATCTACCATTTTTTATTCTGAAATCAGAGGGTGCCTTTAGAAGTACTACAACTAATATTAGTACTTACTAATACTGTTATTATTACAAGTAGTAGTATTAGTATTACTATTAATACCACTACTGTAGTACTAGTACTAATAGTAGTATTAGTATACTAGTAATACTACTAATAGTAGTAGTTATAGTACTACTAATAGTAGTTGAAATAGTATTATTAATACTAC